TGATTGTCTAGTCTCTTCTTAAAAAGTGATGGAGCACACACAATTTCTGAAGGCAAGCTTTTCCACCGGTTAATTGTCCTCACTGTTAGGAAATTTCTCCTTAATTCCAGGTTGCTTCTCTCCTTGATTACTTTTCATCCATTGTTTCTTGTCCGTCCTCTGGTGCTTCGGAAAATAAATTGACCCCCCTCCTCTCTGTGGCAGCCTCTCAAATACTGGAATACTGCTATCATGTCCCCCCTAGTCCTCTTTTTCTCTAGACTGGCCATTTCCAAATCCTCCATTGCATCAAGGATTGTGCATTATACCCTGTGATATGAAAGAACTTGTACTTAAAGGAAAGAGCTGTTTCAAATTAGTGTTGTGATAAAAAAAGATGTGATATATGGATAGCAGTTTTTGAAAAATACCATCCAGCTGTATCTCCCAAATGATGCTATTATCTAACAAAGTAATTAAATGTGTGGAGGTGGCATGTTAGAGGGAGCAATCTCTTCTTTTTGTGTCAGTTAGGAAATCATACACCTTAGAGAAAAAGTTAAATATAGTTCAAGTCATCCAGGAGCTTCTGGCCACTTAAACATAAACATCCCATCTTAGTATTCCCATGAGATCTATTTGTTTATACCTTTTGTCATGCTTCCCTGCCCAGACAGAAAATCAGGCATCTCCTGCTGCTTCTTTCTTAATCCCATTGTGAGGACAGACCTGGCAGAATTCTCCAGACAGGACTTACCTAGATAAGGATCTTTACTGCAGATGGGAGCAGAGCCATTCCAAAAAGCTGATAGCCAAGCCAGAAACATTAGAAGAAGGTGACAGTAGTTTTTTTTTCAGTGACAAAGACTTGACATAGAAAAAAAGACAAAGCAACGGGGAAATGCATTCATTGGTTCCTATAGTTCTTTCCATTTGGACTCATGTAATTTATTTGCCAGTATCTGAAATAATAATTCATGAAATGGAGAGTTTCTGTTATCATTTTTTTTTAGGAACAGTATTTTATGTCTGTAATCGCATACGTATAAAATCAAATGTAAGTGATCAAGGTTGAAAGAATATTATTTGAATACCGGAAGATTTATGGGCATGATAAAAGCAAAGCAATGGAGTGAAATTTGTGGTAGATGGTTCTGTGTTCTGGACTCAGTTTGCTTTCAAGCTTCAGTGATATAGTCTGTGAAGATTGAACTGACATCTTGTATTGTAAGGAAAGCACAAGAAATCTATTTTTAACTTTTGCAGCTAAATTCACCATGCTAAGTGCCTCCTATTCTCTTAGCTAGCTGGAAAGTATACCATATGGTTTCAGTGATTCTTGTCTTCTGAACTGGGCCTCCAAGGTTAAATCTGCTCCTTTTGCATGCTGTGGACTGTGATTTGTGATCACAGATTAGTTTTTAATTAAACTGTTCCAGCAGATGTAGCAAGTCTTCATATTTACTTTATTTCCTTAATGTAGACATGGATGTTGCTGTGACATAGCAATGGAAGAACTATTTTAGGCATTGATATGCAAATTTGTACATCAAGCAATTAGAAGCAATTAAAGCAGGATGTAGTGTAATTAGAAACTGTTTTGTTCTAATTTTATTCAGAGAGGTTTGACATGTTGTGGAAAAGTTTTAAAAATAAAAGCAGGCAATGTCTACTGTTTATTGAGATGTATGCAGGAAAAATAACAATAAAGACTTTGCATATAATTATGTGAGATGCTTTATTTGTGAGATCTGCTTCATAAACCCATGAAGCAGCCATAAAAGCTTGAAACCTGATAAAATTGCTTCAGAAATATTCAAAGTTTTCCAAACTTGGATGTGTATATATTGAAGTGCTCGAAAAGATGGCATATGAAATAACAACAACAACAACAACAATAAAATATAAAGATTCAAGATGGCAAATATGATAAAATGAGGTATATCACTCTCTCTTACTGAAAGCCTGGATGAACAACCAGTATGCACAGTTCTTTTAGACAACAGCAGAATGGGGGTCCTCCATATCTCAGGGGCAACCTCATTCCACAGGAGCTGCTACAGCAAAGTTTTCGGGTCCCAAGAGAGATGACATTTTTAAAGGAATTTAGAATGTGTGAACCCTACAGGATCGAATTGGCTGGGCAGATGTAATGGGAGACAGATGGTCCCTTGCCCAACCTTAAAAAGAATTGTACTGAATGCCATAATAGCAATAGTATCACATTCCACATTGTCAAAAGAAGACTCAAAGGACAAAGGTTGTATCCTTTGTAGAAAGTAGAGATAGCACAGCAGCAGCAAATAATTGTCATAGTGTAATATAGCATAGTATATTTTGTAGCATATACTTTAATCTACTGGGTTCAGATTTAAAATGTTACGTTCCTAAAATGTTACCCCTTAAACGTTGGGGACTCCCTCTCTACCCAACCATATTAGAGGGGTAGAGTCTCAGTGGAAGAGTCACTCCTGGCAGATGCAGCTTTAGTCATCCTGTTGATTACCTACATTGGGATCTGGATGGGAAATAATGGGAGGTATGGTAATTATCATCTGCTGATCCATTTGTGAGCAAGACCCATCTGTATGTGGGAAGTACTTTTTTGTTTTGGTTCACCTGCTACTTAGGCAAATGATAGCAGATAGGGTCGGTGCAGGAGGAATAGATACAACATTGGAGCAGCAGATGTAGGCTATGGCCAGGATGGCTTTTGCCCTCCCTTGTTTGATATGCTATTTGTAGATTTTTTTTGCTCAAGATGTCCTTTGCCACAGTAATTGATACCCTCATCATCACTCTCCATTGGACTAATGGCAATGTACTTTAGTTCAGACTGCTATTAAAAATAATTAGAAGCTACAACTGATTAAAACTACTGTACAATGACCTGACTATTGATAAGAAAAGTTAGGTCCAAGAGTTTGATATGGTGGGGTCATTACGTTCACTACCTTTGAAGAGCAGGCAGTTCTTGTGCAGGCAGTTCTTGGGTCCCTAGGGTGACCTATGTTATACCACTAGTCCACAATTTGCACTGTTGGCTGGTCTGCTTCTGGGTGCAACTCAAGATATTGGTTATTACATTTAAAGCCCTACATAGATGGATCCAGGTTACCTGAGGAACCATCTCACCCTACTGGGACTAGCCCCCACTTGTGCAGGCAGACAAGGCATGCTGCAGGTCCCATCCCATAAGGAATTCTGGCTGGCAGGGTCCAAGAGAGGGCAGCTCCTGCCCTTTAGAACTTCTTATCCCTGAAGTGAGATTAACTCCTACCCTTCTGATAGTCTGCAACAGCCTGAAGATCTGGCTCTGCCAGACAGCTTGGGACCCCAATGGGGAGAATCATACTGGAGATGGTTGATGAATTAAGAGACAATCTCATCTCTCCACCCTCCGCCTGCACATCTTGTTCCCTTCCCATCTTTTAATGCAGTGCTTCTCAATGTTTGTGTGACGGCAACCCCCGTCACACAAATGTGCCGCGCATGCGTGGCGCCGCCCCCATGCGTGCCGTAGCGCCGCATGCATGCGTGGCGCCGCCCCCGAGGGGGAAAAATGGCGACCTCCGAGAAATGGTCGATCGACCCCAAATGGGGTCGCGACCCATAGGTTGAGAACCGCTGTTTTAATGATAATTTTATTTTGATTGTGATTTTCATTTTTATTGCTTTAGAAATATTTATCTATTAGGACTTTAATGTTTTAATGCTGTAAGAAGCATTATTTATTTATTTATTTATTTATTTATTTATTTATTTATTTATGAGACTTATATACCGCTTTAAGTGCAAGCACTCTCTAAGCGGTGTACACCAGTAAGCAGTGTATGTATGTATGTATGTATGTATGTATATATATATATATATATATATATATATATATATATATATATATGCCCCCAACAATCTGGGTCCTCATTTTACCTACCCCGGAAGGATGGAAGGCTGAGTCAACCTTGAGCCGGTGAGATTTGAACCGCTGACCTGCTGAACATAGTCAGCTAAAGTGGCCTGCAGTACTGCACTCTAACTGCTGCGCCACCTCGGCTCTTTTTAATTATGTTTTAATGCTGTAAGAAGCATCTCGATATGAGGTGAATGGCAAATAAGTTAAACAAACAAACATTTGCCATCATTGCAGCATCCCACAGTTGCGTTATTATCACTTGCCCATTTGATAACTAACTTCTGACAAACAGAATCAATGGTTTAGCTGCTGGTAAAAGCACAAGTCGCAGTCACATGATTGTCACAACTGTGGGTAGTTTGCTTAACAACTGTAGCAAAAGTAACACTGTAAGTCCATCACTTTCATGAGATGTTTTGCTTAGTGACTGTATTACTTAGAAATGGAGTTAGCAGTCCCAATAGTGATCACTAAGTGAGGACTACCTGTACTCTTTTCTACATAAATTTACTGTGTTAATTCCAGTTTTGATTTAGAAGTGGTGTGGAATTCTTGGATCTGCTTGTTATTTTATTACTGATGTGGTGAAAGTGAGACCACTGTTGCATTTCCTACTGGTTAAAAGCAGTCAAAGAAAGCCTGGATATTTTGCAGGATGTTTTTAATGTGGACCCTAGGGATCATTCTGGCTCTTTTTGTTTAAAAGAATTGTTCCTGAAGAATCGGAAGCTTTCCTCAAAATGATCAAAGCAGCATCACCCCACCCCTTTTGTATGCAATGCCAGGTTGCCTTAGAAGGGTGGTAGGAGTTGTCTCACAACACGCGATTGTAGTTTTTCATTAATCTGGCATTCTTTTCTCCTCCCTCCTAAGACACCACTTCCTTTAGGTATTTTGTACTCAGCTTCCCTCAGAAGAACCAAGGTGGGCAAAGGCGAGGAATCTGGAGAATTTTAATCCAAAAATATCAAGATAGCTAACTGTCTTACCCTGTTGTAGACATTCACTTGTTAAATGTTTTATGGACATTTAAGGATATTACGTGACATAAAATATGCGATCATTGGTAAAATGATGTGTTCTTTGGTTTCTCACTTTTTTTTCATAGGTTGTATATGTAACCGCTACATTTCCATACGTCATGTTGTTGATTCTACTGATTCGAGGAGTAACATTACCTGGGGCCTCTGAAGGAATAAAATTCTACTTGTATCCCGACCTATCTCGTCTTTCTGACCCACAGGTAGGAACTTATAACAAAAAACTTAATAAACATTTTGTGCATTGTTTTTTCCCTTTTCTGTCCTTTCTTAACTAGAAATACCTGCTCTTTCCACTATATGCTGAAAGCAAAGAATCATAGCAGCGGGACTCAATTTTTCTGAATAATCTATGTTATAGACACTTTGCACAATGTACGATCAGATTTGTAGCAAAATCTGAATAAACTTTCTCTCAAACTCAGCTGTCACAAAAGCAGGATCTGTAGCAAACCGATGAAGACTGTACCATAAATAAAACTCATGTCTTGCTTTGCATTTCAAATGATCAGCTAGTGTATCATTCAGTAAGAAGAATGAAACTGATGAAGAGATATTGCTTGTGAACAGAGATTTGGACCCTGACATTAAGTACATCCCAAAACTATTCTAGGTCACAAAAGCTGATTTGTTTTTTTTCTTTGGCATTCAAAAATCAACCTAGGGAAACTATAGATCCTTACAAGGTTACATGCATTTTATTGTTTAGTTTTACAGCAGAGATCAGCATGTGTGCTAGAGTTGGAGAAGAAGTGGGAAATACCATTGGTCATTTCAAGTTCCTTTTTAGAAATGACAAATTCATCTGTCCTGCTGTACAGTGGGTTTTCAGGTACAAAGGCTGTAATCTGGAATACTTGCTATTGTTTTTATTAGTTTGAATATTTTTGTAGAGGTGTGTTCTATGTGATGAAAACTAATGTTATATAATGTTCTTACTTCTTTACTGTTATGATTAACGTGGTGATTTTATTGTTTAATTGATATTTTTATTTTTTTATTTTAAAGACAATATATGCTTTCTAAATATATACACTGCAATTTAACATTTTATTGATTTCTTTATTTGATTTGTTAAGATTGTGCAGCATTAACAAATCTAATAAATAATTATATAATCTGAATGAGGCTAAAGTCCGTAGTAGCATGGGCCTATTGTCTAATGGGAAATTTGGGGGAGCTACGCAAGTTGCATCTCTGTGTCTGCTTGTAAAGTTCTTGTAGTGCAAGGCTTTATGGGAGTCTCAAGGGTGTTTATCTCAATGTTCAGTTCAGTCTCAGTTAGGAATCTTAACAGCTGCCGGGAAAAAAACCACTAATGCATAGAGTTAAAATACCAAACAGCCAGATGCAATTTCTTATAGTTACTTACAAAATGAATAAATCCTGCTTGCAACTTAAAAAAAATATTGTCAGATTTGGGGACAAAAAATCAATCTGCTCAATAGCATACACCAATGAAGGAAAAGGTAATATTCATTCACTTTCTGTAATGCACTTGCTCCATTTTGTTCTTAGTAAAAGGTCTTCAGCTTTTGTGACTGTTCAATTCCTTTCATTTTTTTCAAACTATAAAACATTTTTCCCCAAAATTGAAAGGAACTGCACTGCCCTAATATAGAAAGCTAATATGTTTTTGCACACATACCATTCAAAAATGATGGAATTCTGAACTTATTTCCACAATACTTAATATGCCTTAAGTTTTCTGAATTTAGCATCTCCCCTACATATATTGGATGTATTTCATGAACGAAGGCGAATATACGTTACGGGATAATGTTACAGGATCCAGTCTGGAGCCTTGGATGTATCTCTTTTATAATTCTTGAGATTTGAAATACCCAACTTACAATAGCAATTGGGAGCAGAATTTCCATCACTAAGTGATACAGTCATAAAACACAACTGCATCACCTACCAATGGTAACCCTTGCAGTTCCAGCTGCTATCATCAACTGAATCCCATGACTGTTAGGCAAAGCAACCTCCTGGAACCAAAGTCAGTGGGGAAGCAGCAGGAGGTTGCAGGTTCCAGACCCACAAGTAGCCAAAGTGGCTGCTGCTGAGTGGGGAATGGAGCATGGCGGTAAGGGAGGGGTATAGAAGAGGATTAGTAAGATGCACAAGAGTGCAAGGGGGTACACAAGTGCTACCCAAACCATGGAGGTGTGTGAGAATGTGAGAGATGTAGTACATAGGTCAGGAATGGTGCTTACATGTGTAAAGGGAAGTGCCACATGGTTTGGGAGGGTGTGTGGGGTGGCACAAGTTGATGAGGGTGCACAAGAGGTGCAGTGTGGGTCATGGAGTGGGTTCAGGGGTGCAATGCATTGTGGGGAAAGTACGCAAGGGTACATGAGAGATATTGGGTGAGTTGGAGAAGGAATGTGTGTGTGTGTGTGTGTGTGTGTGTGTGTGTGTGTGTGCATCCAGATTAACTGTTTTGTGGAAAGAATTCTAGTTACAGAATTATCAGTGTAGCAAATATACTAAGTTAATTGTATATTTAATAGACTATGAGCCAGACACTTTCTTAGAACACAGCTATCGGACGAAACAGGTACCAATATAGTAATAGTAATAGTAGTAAAGTTGGAAGGGACCTTGGAGGTCATCTAGTCCAACCCCCTGCTCGGGCAGGAAACCCTACGCTATTTCGGACAAATGGCTGTCCAGTCTCTTCTTAAAAACTTCCAGTGTTGGAGCATTTACTGCTTCTGGAGGCAAGCTGTTCCACTGATTAATTGTTCTCACTGTCAGGAAGTTTCTCCTTAGTTCTAGGTTGCTTCTCTCCTTGATTAGTTTCCACCCGTTGCTTCTTGTCCTGCCTTCAGGTGCTTTGGAAAATAGCTTAATTCCCTCTTCTTTATGGCAGCCCCTGAGATATTGGAATACTGCTATCATGTCCCCCCTTGTCCTTCTCTTCGTTAGTAGAGGTGTTCTAGCTCAAACTCATTGGAAATATTAGCCTCTGATTCTGGAATTATTTTTTTTCTATTATACTGGCCTAAGACAGCAAAAATGTTGTATATTCCCACATAGATAGGAACTTAAGATACAATGTCTCTTTTTTCTCCCACTTCTGATAATTCTTTCATATTATTTTCAATAAGGACAGTTGATATACCAGGGAACAATATTATTACTCCACACCTACATGCATTGATTTTATGTGAACTCCTTTGATAGAATAAGAGGTGTTTGTCACAATTAACAATAACTAAATAATAATTTAAAATTTGCACCAAATATTCTGCTATAAAAAAGTATTTCTTGATTCAGAGATTAGCCATCTTTTCCTCCAAGCAAGCTAGTCCCCTTCCTCAATATTTTGATTTACTTTTTCATCTTTCACCCTATTTCTATGACCACTGAGAATACCTATTCCTTATTGGCTCTTTTTTGATGATTTCTGGGGAAAGAAATCCAAGAAAAACCTACACTCCCATTCATGTGAAGATTCGTAAAGCATTTTTGGAAATTATGGGATCTCCACGGGGATTGATTCCAGCCATTACGTTTGGACCACATAGCACCATATATACAATTCAGATTGCCTTGTGATGTCTTCTGAAGTTTATACTGCAGTGATTCTATGTGCATTGAGGTGACTACTTCCTGAAGTTTTGGTAGAGAATGTGACCAATAGCCAAGTTGTATTTCATAATGTAAAATGTGCTCTGGTTCTTTGTATCCCTCAGTGAATAACAGCAGGGGTCTTCAAACTTGGCAACTTTAAGACTTGTGGACTTCAACTGGCTGAGGAATTCTGAGAGTTGAAGTCCACAAGTCTTAAAGTTGTCAAGTTTGAAGACCCCGGAGTAACAGACTCATCTGAAAGACTCTGAGGGAATACTTTGTTAATCTTCAGGCCATTAAGTGGCATGCTTTAGTAATATTTGCAGTGTGACTAATTGATTTAATATTAATATCTAGCTCAGATATGATCTCAAATTGATTAAGAACTTAATTTGTAATTTAGAAATTCATCAGAATTGATAGAATTTAATTTAATGGACATCCTCAGTTTTTGCAGTGTTTTTTGCAGTAATTCAAATGAAAAAAAAATAAATAAAAATTAAAAAAGCAAACTGTATGGTCAGCATGTTGCCTGTATTTATTTCCCATTTGATGTTAGGATTATGTGTATATACAAGATAGTTATTCATACAGAATCTTGTTCATAAATCTGTGTGTATGCCTGAAGACAAAACGGTATTTTAAACTTGACTGCTTTTAAAATATGGTGGAATATCCAGAGAATTTTTAGAAGGAGGGTAAAATTTACTCCGCAATTATTTTTGTTAGGTATTGTTACAGATTGTGATACAAAGGAGGTTGTATTGATGTTAAACTTGATCACAGCCGCGAGGCTGTTAATTGGACAATATTGGAAGAAGGAATCTTTGCCTACATTGCAGGAATGGTTTTTTAAAGTAGCTTATCTGGCAGAAATGGCAAAGATTTCGGCTTTCTTAAAGCAACAAACGCAAGAGAAGTTTTTTGCTATCTGGGACAAATGGATAAAATTTATACAATTTAGATTGGGTATACAAAAATATTATATAGCTTTTTCATAAGTTTTATTTTTATATATATTATAGATATCTTTTTTATATATATAAATATAAAGTTTTTAATTTAATTTTTATTTTTATTTTTTTTTTTTTTTATTATTATTTCTTAAGCCTATATTCTGCTCTGGGAAGCTCAGGGGGGGGGGAAGGGAGGGTTTTTGGGAGGGGTGTGGGGTGGGGGTTTTTTTTATATGTATTGTTTAATTTTTTTTTTCTTTTGTATATGTTGTTTTTTGTTCTGTATTGTTCTTGTTTTTTTTTGTAAAATTTATAAAACTTTTAATAAAAAAAAAAAAAAAAAAAAACTTGACTGCTTTTAACTGCGAGAGATCCCATGGGGCAGTCCATAAATCCTGTTAAAAGTATCTCTGCTCAGCAATAACAAGTCACTTGGATGTGAAATCCAGTTGTTTCTGTTCACAGGTCATCTCTTCATGAAAGCAGTGTGTGATAGCACTTTCAGCTGAGCAACATGCTGTTAGTTTGCTTTCAATTTTACACGTTGCTCTTAGAATGTTTGTTGTTGATTCTTGGAGTTATTTTATTATTATGACATTTCACAGATAGCATAGACCTATGATTTAAAGTTTTGAAAGATAAACTCATGTTTCAGAAAGCTATTT